TAAATAATATTAGGCCTACCCTTTGGCAAGACTTTTCAATCACAGATGGATGCTAGCTCCACACTCGCTGTTTGCCTTAGCAGTCCAACTAGTACATGGACCTCTTGCACCAACCAACAAGTGTAATAATAATAATAGTAATAATAAATTGAAACTTAATAGTGCGCCGTTTCCATAAAAATGATCAAAGGTGCAGTACAGGTACAACTTATAGTGTGCCGACCAACCCGTACACCAAATTGTGCTCAAACCTACTAGTATTATGACACGTTTTAAGATGTGTGCTGTAGGCCTATGTGCGTAATTGTGAAGTGTGGAAGTCCATTGTGGTTTTACTTTAAGCTTGTCAATAATTAAAACTATGAAAAATACAAACCAACAGAGTAAAAAAGAGGTTCTGTCTTATATTAATATTTCTTATATATTCGTGACATTTCAAACTCTATAGTAATGGATATTAATAACGAATAAAGCTGGAAAATAACGTGTTGAACGGCAACATAAAAAGGCCAGTGACCACGACCATCTACACAACAAATTTATAAGACATCAACTCAACAGTAGTATGACAAAATCACCCTCAGTCGACCACAAGTAACAAAACAAAGTGCATTTGTTTTGGCAATTTAATTATTTTGGAGTTTCATCTGAAGCAGCGACTTGACAATGTGTCACTTGCAGCAATAACGCATGCTGCGACTTAATGTTGCTTATTTCACAAAATCAAATGTGACAGTTTCTGCGATCCTCAGTCAATTTCCATGTGCTCATATTTACGCTTTTATTCAGCTGACCGCCGAATCCACAGATCAAGGTTAGTATGTCTTCCTCGCGTAAGTGTTTCGCGTACAATTTGGTTGGTGATCCGTGCTCTATCACTGGTTCAAAGAGAAAATGATGTATTTACTATTAACGATGACAACCAAGGAACTCGGAGAGGACAATGCTGTCTGGAACTGGACCAAGAGAAGGTGCTGTTTTCTTATTAACGGAGGCTCCTTTGGTTGAAACTGAATTTCGCTAGTTCACAAACGACAATGAGATGCTTACGATGCGTGCGCGTCGCTACCAGCAAAATGAACACTTCCGACCAACATGACTCTTTTAAATCGATGAGGGGGTGCTTCTGTTCGAGACGGATTGGTTGTTGCAAAGTCATTGGTCTTTTTTGAGTCACATGACCGAATCTTCTGGGTTGCATGCACTGCTGGTGAGTTATTCTAGGCAGCACGAACACAACACATTCCATGGGTGTTACGACGGTCGCTAAGCCAATATTGAATAATTATATTTCAGCACACAGTTTGAGCTCATTATGTCAGCTTTATAACAAAATTACATGTACAGTGTACTTGTCTTTGAACGTAATCTGACAACCGATATGTGACATTTCGTATGGAGTAATACTTTTTTTCCAATTCTGATGCGTGCATTATTATATTTACTGATTAACTTGGCCGAAATATTTTCGAGCATCCTGCATGTTGACTTAGAAATGAAAGAAAAAGGATATTAGGATTAACTCCATCGTAATGATAATAAGAAAACTTTATGAAACACATGAAAAAGCAGGTATATGTAATTTATATGGGCACCGATCTGGTTTCGAAATCCAAAAATCAACAATATCTTAAATGTTGACCTTTCCCTGACCCAGACACATATACCAACATTTTAAAAGCCTGGTAATATCAAACTCAAGCCCTCATGAGGATAGACTGTCTGTCAATTTCAATGGAAGGAAAGTAAAAATTTCCCAAACACCTGAAGAGTTTACATTACCTATAGGTATGTGCTTTCCAATTAACTGAAAAAATTAATAAGCTTCGCTCATTCAACCCTAGTGTTTTATTCAATGTTGCAATACATCACGCTATGCTACAGAGATCTAACAGCCACAACTGCTACGTCTTCATCAATTTCTGTTATGAGAAACATCAATGACAAATGACTCAACAATCCTCACATGGCCTTTCTTGAGGATTTTCGTATGGATAGTAAAGCTGTTGATTTTTCTTGATCTAAAAAAAAAACCCAAAAATAAAAATGGATGCCAAATATATGGATGCCTGTGCACATACACTGAACGTTTGCAGCACATTCAAAGCAGAACAAACAGAAGCAAATATAAGCTCCGTAATCCGTACAAGAATTATTTCCACAATTGAAACAATTTTTGAATGATGATTGTGTGACATTTCCAGGATTTATAAACAATTTCATAGTTTTCCATAATAAAAAATGTCAAATTACATTATTATGATTTTGTACAATTCAGTCAATAAGAATATTAGATAAAAGTGCATACATGTACATCAAATTAATAATTCTTCTATATTGAAAGGAAATTTTTACTTCTTCAAAGTGGACAAAAAAGAATGCTTTCAGCAAGGAACTTTGTAGGCGGATTACTGCAGAAACCTTGCAGGATGATCACTGCAGAAAGATGACTATTAGTCTAGTTTAGCCATCTCAAAATCATAATCTGTGTAACCACCTGTAGCAAATGGAAACAGAAAATGAGAACTTCATCATCTACATGCATATAGCGTACACATATCAATTGGATAATTTTGTGATTTAATTCTATATTTAGTATTAAGGTATCAGAGAGTGTCAGCAACATGTTAATTTTAACTTGTAAGTTCACCCTTATACTGATGTATGTATTCATAGCACTGTATGCTTAGTGCTGTAAGAGAGCTCATGTAAACCATGGGACTCGAACCCACAACCTGCTGCTTAGTAACTAGTGCACATACACTGTACATGTATTTTAACCACTCAACCACCAAACTTGAAAACGTCAACTGGCTGGTCTAAGTCAGATGTTGCAGTGAGTATACCAGGCAAGTACATATTTGGCAATAGCATGTAGTACCCTCTGCTACCATCTGACTCAGACCACCCGAAAGTAGTCAAGTGGTTGAGACATCTGCACTAGTAAGCAGGAGGTCATGGGTTCAAGTCCCACCCAAGTAAACTTGTGATTTTATTTTAGAGAAGGCCAAACAGAAAGCAGCATGAGAAGTTCAATAACTATCTGGAGTTCTCCGGTAAAGTGAGGGCACTTGTTACATGTACTTTTCTTTTTTCCCTTCTGTGTTTACTTAGTACTAATATCTTTAACAGTATGCTAAGTTTTCGCATAAAGAAAGGATTGATGTAAGTACATTATGTACTGTAAGGTTTTTTTAATTTAAAAATCTGATTTGTTTTGATCAGATTATTTTCAAATCTCAATCAATTTTGAAAGCCAGTTGGGAATGGGAAAAAGTTAGTCTTTTGTTACTTATCTACTGCAGAGGAAGCAAATTCAGCTGTATGGGTGTCATTTTTTCTATATTTCCTTTGTTAGAAAATTTAAGAATTTGGGATTTAAATGAAGATATATAAATAAAGCACTTTGATTAAAATCACACACTAAGCACTGACGATAATCCCCTTCAATGTTGCCTACACCCCGGTGAATTACATGTAGTAACCCACATGTTTACATGCATACACTTGTACCAAGTTCCTTTAGAACTGTAAAGTGTCAGGTTTTAAATCAGGCTATTGTTCATACGTATTTTAACCAAAAAAAAACCTTGTTTTAATGTTAACTAAAAGCAGTCTCATTACAATAGGTTTGTTTGTGATCCAGCTCCTTTTTGATTAGGTAAGTAGGGACTAGGGAGTCAGGCTTGTTTGAATGTTTTGTTTAAAACTCATTTTATAAAGACTATTTTGTTACTGCTTTTGATTTTACTGCATAAGGACCAACATTTTCTAATCCCAATAAATTCCTTACACAGATTAAAGACAGATGTACATGTCCATGTCACAGCACACTGATAATTGACCATGTTCAACTCAGATGTAGACACTCAGCATCAAGTGACATTAAATAAAGATTATGAGTCATTTAACTTATGCACTGAATCCAAAAACTGATTTAAAAAACAAGTCACTTGAATGGGAAAAAATTCTGCCGACCAAGCTTGTGCATGCTGTGTGTAACACAAGCACCCATACTTCGTTTAAGGTACTGTAGGGTTCACTGATTTTACAATTTGAAATGTGAAAAACCTGGAAAAATGGCCAATTAGTTTTACAAAATGCAAAAAAAAATACAACATTTAGTCCTTTTCCAAAATAAAATTAATTGAAATACATCAGTGATAAAAAAATTGTTTGATTTGATTTTGTGATTTCCAACAAGGTGATTAAAATTGGTAAATCCTGGTTTGACACACAAGACACTGTTTCAGGATGCCATCTGTTCATTCTCAAGTGACCAACCTGACCAGCAGCCGATTTCAAGAAAATGGTTCATTTAATTGCGTAAGTTGCGCAACAAACTATGAGAAATTTTGTAAAACATATGCACCGCGAAGTCTGCAATTTGTGTTACAAATTATAGCATTACTTATGTAATCATTTTTAGGTGGTGTACATGTACATGTAAGTTGCGCTAAACACAGTGAAAATGATGTATTTGACTAACTCACTGCGTTAAGTTTAAGGCTTATCGCTGCTGACCTTAACAAAAATGTACAACTTTGTTTCCAGAGCTGTAGTCGGGTCCTGGATGCGAGAGTCAAAGTCCGAGTCCATGCCATCTGAGTCCGAGTCCAAGACCAAGTCCTAACTTTCAGTGTTCAAGTTCAAGTCGAGTTCTTGTGTCCGAGGGCAAGTCCGAGTCCTTTTATGAATCTCTAATTGGGGGCCTAGTGTTCTCACAGACACTGACACACAAGAAATACCCTAACACATCGTGAAATATAACTTGAACATTTGAATTAGCACAAGGGGTTCAAGTTTATTTGACAACTGGGACAATATATTGTATTGGACATCAATTTTCTTTTGTAGTGGAATACACTCAATAGCAAACTGTGTAGTGTGCACTTAATCTTGGAGAATAAACGTTTTCATCCTCGGTTATTTTTAAGTGCAAATAATGAAAATGTTAAAGTCCCCAATTCAACTCCTCTGTGGAAAAAGTTTGTTACAAGAATGTCAAAGTGCAAATTTCATAAGTTTCAAGCTAAAAAATATTCCTTGCATCAAAGAGACCATTAAATTTCCGGCAGTTACACTCCTTCTGATTGGTAACTTAATCATTCAGGACAATGTCAACATGATTGATCACGGACACTGCATGCAAAACACGTATTGCAAGCCAGCCAACAATCTGTACATGTGCTGCAGGAGGATCCTAAAGCTATGGTTAGGTCTAGGCCTTTGTACATTGCAAATGTACAAGGGCACACTGACAAATGCCATAGTCACTAGCAATGGTTTTGGAAGCCCATTTTGGTTTGTGACATGGCTAGGCAGTGCACATGTGTATGTCTCAATCTCATACTGTATCTTCATACATTTTTTTACGTTTCCATTTAAATTCTCACATTTTTTTTCAGAAGACAGATCCAACAATACTTGGGTGTAGAAACTGAGAAAGTCATATCCCAGTTTGAAGTTTAAGATTAATCATGTTATGCCAAAAATCACCGTAGTGAAGTTGCCAGTTCAGCATAACAGTCTTGCTAGTCTTGTTCCACAGTTCTGACCTATCTTTGCTGCCCGAAGGATGTTGATAGTGCATGGCGAGAACCAGTCTATGTTTGTGAACCAGCTGCATGGGCACTGTATGCTGCTTTTTCACCTGCACACCCGTACTTGTACATATTTATGTATGTCTGCACAGTGCAGTTTTAGGTTACCTGTGGAACTCGTTCATACTGTGCTCATGCACAGGTGTTTGCGTTAGTATTGCAGCATGACTAAATTCAGAACCGTCTCCCAGTCTTCATTAAAAAGAAATTGCAGTGAACTTAAAATTAGAGGGGGTGGCCGGACTCAGGCAGAGTCCTTGTTATAGCCAAGTTCTTACTTTTCGAGTCCGAGTCCAATTCCAAGTCCCAACTGTCTGGGTCCTTGAAAATCAGGACTTCACCAGCATTGATTGTTTTGAAAAGTAATAAAAATCTTGTTTGGCTGTGAGAGAACTTCAAGATTTTCTATCCTGTTCCAATGAAGAAAAGATGAAAACTTTTTCAAAAGGGTGAGCAGAAGTAATTCGATAAATGATTGATGATTGCTGTAAAAAGCGGTTGTAAAAGCCGTAATCCTCCTTGTCAAAGGAAATTTAATATAATTAGAATGTGCAGCTAAGCAACTTTGGCACAAGTTTGTGGCACAAGGCTTATGTAACACTGCACTGTTATCATCTCCAATACTGGTGATTAGGCTGGTACATGTATGAAGCTCTTTAGAAATAGATACTTACGCCAAAAGACTTTAGAGACCTTCTCACCCACAAGATAGATGACAAGAAGAGCAAGAGCAGACACTACAATAAAGCCAATGAAGGCTGTCCCATGTAAGACTTTGAGAAAAGGGTAGACCCAGATGTCTGCAACAAATCCTAGCCACAAAATCCTGCAAAATGAAAAGCAAAATACTAGCAACAATAATGACATCTACTGATGACATTTACAGGTACATGTACTTAAAATGTCTTACACATTGCACTGAAATGTTCATGCATTAAAATATTCAAATGATATTTACATATAGAAGGTGTGTATGCAGAGCCAATGATTTCCTGTTTCAAAAATAGGTATTTTCCATTTCGCCAAATCCCAAATTTCGCTTTAGAATTTCAAATTCCATTTTATACCTTTGTAAGCATGAAATACGAGAGCAAGTTTTAAACTATGCATGGAAACCATTTGCCCGACCACATCACCCCCAAAAAAAGAAAGGAAACAAAAATAACAACAATATTGTTTGGAAATACTCTGCAATGTTTCCAACTTTTTTTATAATTTCTGGAGTGAAAAATAAAAAAAAAACTCCAGACAATAAATACAGCATACCCCAAACCCTTGATTTCCCACCAGCGCGCAATCGCCAAAAACTTGCTACGATTAATTTAATCAACGGACAATTCATGTGACACTCCTCGTGTATGAAATCAGAACATACATGTACAATGTACACGTACAGTGAAGTCACAGAGCAGGTCTTGCACGTAACAGTCACTGATCACAATATGGGAATGTTGGACATCGACCGGCCATTTTATTTGGCAGTAGTGCGACAAAAATTCAGAAAGTTAACACTGAAGCTGAGCCTTATAACGTATATTTGGGACTGAAAACTTCACCCTTTATTGAACACTTCCCAGGGCCCATTCTGCTATGGTACACCAAGCTTACTAGGTTTCCTTTAATTCAAGAAATGTGTAATAAGTCTACCGTTTTGCTGTTGCGGTTTCATCGTTTCGCCATGTGGTACTAGCCTTGTCTCAATGAGTCCATGCAGATATAAAGACTAAATGCCCCACGAGTGCAACAGTCATATGTGAGTAAAAACTTGTTTGCACCTTGATTTCATTGCTGGTATGGTGCACGCGTGAGCGGCCAATGTGTGTATGCACAATGTACCGTGATGCACTGGGCTGTCTGCTGCAGGTAGGACAGGTAGGACTACGCTACAATTACTTGGCTAAGAACTCACCATGACACACTATAGGTACATGTAGGACAAGGCTAAAATGACTAGGTTAAGAACTCACCTTGACAGGTAGGGAAAGGCTACAATAACCAAGCTAAGAATTCATCATGACAGGTAGGACCAGGCTACAATGACTAGGCTAAGAACTCACCATGACACAGGTAGGACAAGGCTAAAATGACTAGGCTAAGAACTCACCATGACAGGTAGGGTAAGGCTACAATGACTACGCTAAGAACTCACCATGACAGATAGGACAAGGCTACAATGACTAGGCCAAGTATTCCACTGAACTTGGAGGGATACCGGTGCCTGACAAGGAACATATCCAACAGTAGAATTGGAACAACTGTTGTGTGCTGCATATGTGAAAGCAATTGAATAGTGAAAATTTATAAATACATGAACTGTACACTGACTGATGGTGTCATGCAACCACAGTATATACACAAACCTCTAGCCGTGTTCCCATGGGACTTTTTCTTCAGCAGGTACATGTACATGTATGTGGAAACACTGCAGCGTTCATTCATGTCAATCTAACGCACATTTTTTTACTGTAATGGAATGTTTATTCACTGTTTTAGGCCTCATAACACCAGCTGATTACATTTACATTGCCGCATTACATTTTCTATTGTAAGATTTATCGATAAACTTATGTCCTTTGTCTCAACCTCCTGAACCTTCTTGTATGTATAGCACCCTCTTTACTTAGATGTTATAAAGTCTAGTTCCACTTTCACCAATGGCTAGTTTAATGTTATGCAGTAAAGGTACTTTACTATCATAATTTCCATGTGACAAATTGCACATTGAAGAGAATTTTTCAGAGCTTGATGGAGAATTTCCTCCATTTTTGTCATCAATAGTTAGAGTATGGGTTTGCAGATTATTAGAGATAATGACATTGATCTAGAGACTGCATATTTCTTGCTTCTAACTGAGTGAGACCAAAGATTCCAGTAATTTTATCAAACTGGACGCGCAACAGTGTGAGTTGAGATTTGTTTTCTTTGTTATTGCCAGATTGATCGATTTACATTCAATCCACACTTGCATTTTAGACTTCATATTAGAATAGTTGCTCTACATGATATGCATTCAGCATGTAAACTCTTGTTTAATGTATTTACTCTGTTATTATGATTAGGGTGGTTTACATTTGAAGGTTCTTAGTGTTACATTGTACTCATTACTGCATCATATGGTTTGAATTTTCATGGATTTCAAACTGACTGTACCCATCGTAATGTACCTGAAGTGTTAAAGGAGTTTGGAAACGTTCTAAAGTTCGTGTGACACAGGCTCATCTTCGCAGCTACATGTATGTACAAGACATGAAAAAAGCGACAAAATCTGAGCAGAAAAATGACAATATCAGACAAATTTGACTAAATCTGCCACATGTAAGATGAGCCGGTACAGGAAAAGCCCTGTACACAATGTGTGTGCAGTTGTGCTCAAAATAATTAAATGCTTTGGAAAATAACATCCTTTTCTGAATTCTCCATTTGTAAAAGCTATAACATGTATGTTGGTGCATTTACTTCCACTACATCTTTTGTCTGTTAGTTGCAATACATAAACCCACATGTATGTTGGCTAATCTTCATTTGCATAATAATAAATACGGACTGGGTTTCTTTCTTGCTCCTGGTCAAAATTGGTCATACCCAGGTTTACATAGTCCAAAGTCTCTTCTTAATAGTCAATAGCCTGACTTACATGTATGTTCTTGATGATTGCCTTAAGACGGTTCCTACAAGTGTTCACAAGCTTTCTGCATGTCTCCTGTGGGATATTGGCACACTCTTCCTTGACAAAAGCCTCCAGCTGGGTCAGGTTGGATGGTTCCCTGGCCATCACTCTGGTCTTCAGCTGCCTCCACAGATTTTCAGATTGGATTTAGTCAGGACTTTGACTTAACCATTCCAGTACATGGACACCATTGTCCTTGAACCACTGCTTTACTACCTTGACGGTGTGCTTACATGTATTAGGGTCATTTTCCTGCTGGTACGTTCAATCAGGTTCAAGCTGGAGTTTCTCAGCAGATGCTTCCACATTTTTATCTAGGATCATGATATAATTCTCCTTTTTCATTCTTAATGAGGTTCCTGGTGCCACTAGCAAAGAAGCAACCCCATAGCATTATGTTGCCACAACCATGCTTTGCAGTTGGGACTGTGTTTTTCGGCTTGTACACTCCTCCTTGCTCCCCCCAGACGTAGGCAATATCCATGTGGCCAAATAACTCCATCTTTGTCTCATCAGACCGCAGGACTGATGTTCAAAAGGTAGGATCTTGGTTCAGATCTTGCAAATGCCAGACTAGCTTCCTGATGTTTCTTCCTGAGTAATGGCGTCTTCCTGGGCCTGCGTCCGCGGAAACCTCCTTTGTGCAATACTAGCTGGGTGGTTGCCCGTGACACCTTCGTCCCTGCCTTGTCAAGGGTATCAATTGGGGCCTTGGTGGTGATCCATGGGTGGTTGTTAGCCTCCCGGCAGATTTTTCTGGCAAGTCTGGGAGATACTTTGCACTTCCTGCCATGCCCATTGAGGTTTTTCACTGTGTTTGAACCTCTTATGCTTCTTAACCCTAACCCTCCTCAATCCTTGACCTGTTGGAGGATTGAGGAGGGTTAGGGTTAATGATACTCTGAACAGTTGGAACAGGGACCTCATATTGCTTGGAAATTGCCTTGTAGCCTTTGCTTTCTTTATGGGTATTCACGATACGCTGGCGTACATCCTCAGTGAGTTCCGTCTTCTTGGCCATGGTGACAAGTCACTGAGAATAATCTGAAAACTTTTCTTCTTTTTATACTCTTTGGGGCATTTCATCAGAATCTTGAACACAAAGTCATCAAAAGAAGGTATTTACAGGTTTTCCTATTGGAACATCTTGAAATAGCTTCATGCCAAAGATTCTTGCAGTCATAGTAGGTAAAAATAAGCAATATGAATGAAAGGAGCCAAAAAGAAACCTGGACCATATCTACACGTATTACAGAGTATTTCATGTATGCAACTGAAGTTCAGCCATAACGCATGTGCGTTTGTGTATTGCAACAAACAGACAAAAGATATAGTGGAAGTACCAACGTAATAGTTTTTACAAATGAAGAATTTAGAAAAGTATGTTATTTTCCAAAGGGTATGAATAATTTTGAGCACAACAATATACATGTAGCTTTATCCGGGCACGCTTCACTGTGTGCACAGTATGCTGCTACAATGTATGCGCAGAGTTGGAGACTGGGAATGATACAACCAGTTTTGCGTGCCCACTATCGATCTCTGTGTAGCAGTAGTCTGGTTCGTAGGTTTAGGGTGGCCGTGGTCAATCTACTGTATATTGTGCGGAAACTGTTCCCATTGAACTTTTTTGTGCCCCTGCTAACTTACCGTGGCTGCGTGGAAATCTTCCGCGACCCTTTTCAGCCTGTTAGTTTTACATCATGATTGCGGTAACTTGAAAGGGATGTTAGTTTATCATGTGTTCCCATTGGATTTAATTTTGTAATTCTACAGGAAAGTCGCAGTAAGACTAAGTTAACCAAAAGAGTCCAGTGGGAACACGGCTTACATGTATGTTTATTCAGTACAGTAGTTTTTTGCAAAGTAACAACATGAATGGAAACTATTTCAACCTAACAAAAAGGGTACAGTTCTTTGTCAGTTTGTAGAGGTATCATCATAAAAGGTTGAAACCCCACAATTAAAACGATAGTAAAACAATACTGAGAAAAAGGATCATCTGAAATGTTATAATTCATGTACATGTACTACAAGTAGTGCTTACCATGACATGATTTAGCCAAGCAGGGAAAAAGTCATCCAATACTTTGGGAAATATAAGCTCTCGGTCCACTGCCCAAATAAGCCAAAACACTGTTACGACAAGCTGAAGGATGAAATAGGAAGCAATTACCAGAAATATTACACTATCACTGTAACCATGGAGCTATTAAACACAAGGAGTTAGAACAAAGCCCCTACAGATCGTAATCCGATTAACTGCTCTGGTCTGCTCCACAGGCAAGGCGCGGTTACCAGCCCCAGTGTTGAAGACACTTAGACATTCTTTGATCACACAATGATCGCCACCGCCAGGTAACTGGTAACCCACATAATTTCTGTGTTTCACTGCGGCATACTGAAGTAAATAAAAGGTCGAAATGATGCACAAAGAAGATGCCTAGTTCTCTTCTGTAGTCCTCAGGAGTTAGTGAGTGAACCCCACAGATGGGCTAGAAAATTCTGAATCGGCTGTGGTTATTTGGGAAAAATTCGGACGTTTTTAAAGTCAGTTATGACAATTTACAGTTCTGGCGAGAGAGAACAAATACCCCAAATATGAACTGCGATATTTATATCATAAGTCACAATCCTAGTGGTTCCTATGATTAAAAGAAGGTGGAAACACGCTGCAGAAATGCATTTAACAACGTGGCGAGGTTTCATGCCGAGACAGTAGTGGATAATGACAAAATTGACAACGCATCTCCCCGTGTTTTTGTGTGTCTTTTATTTTCCTCTGGACCAGCCACATGTACATTCTTTCAGTTTTCTTGTGCGTATTTTTTGAGAATTTGTATTAGTTAGTAATTCTGTTTACTATTAAGAGAGACGTTTTGGGAATGTAAAGACGTACATGTAACCAGACTCTCATTGTCATCGGAATATCAGAACAATCACTAAAATTAGTGAAATTTAAGTCTCAGATGACGGTGGTTTCTGTCTCAAGGCAGCCATGTTGAACATGAGGAAGTGTTACGGTCACGCATGCGCGGTACCCAAAATTCTTTGCGAATGCAGCTCTGACCATTCCATATAGCCCACAAGTGACGCGTAATTTGTTTTGCCCATGCAGCATGTGCAGTGCTTGTGGTGGCCATCACTGACCCCTTAGATCTCTATGTGCTTACTCCTTGTGTATAATAGCTCCATGCTGCAACCAACGTTTTACATATTTATAGAGAATTATTTTCTGATACTCCACTGATTGCAAAATCAAAACATAAATGTCATCAATTTGAAATGCTTTTAATGAAGAAGGTTCATACTGGTGCTTATTACAAGAAAGTGTTTGAATCGCTGGTAAGTTAAAGCGTACAGATGTACCTGCGATAAATTTTTTCTTGATACAATTTTCTGCAACTTCTTTCATGTATGAAAACAACTGCACATCCCTATTGGGTTAAACACACTGAAAAGTGCACTTTTGAGCCAGGTTAATTTTTGGATCATCCCACTGCTGGTGTGGGGGGGGGGGAATCCAACCCTGTCCCATGCCCATTTTTTAAAAATTTGGTAAGACGATTTTTATCAGTACAAATGTGAAGACTGGACTCAATCCAACATACATGTACATGTATGGTTTTGGAATCATGATTACTTTTATTTGAAGTTCAAGGCTACACGCATGTCAGCCCGCATGCAATTGCGCACAGCAGTGGAGAAGTACACATTTTGGCTGACCTGTCTCAGAGCAATGGGTGCTGTGTAAGAACAGTTTGTTCGATATTTATGAAACTGGTGTCAAACTAACTTCAAGAGCTACATTGTTCGTGTACATGTACATGTAGTGAAGGCTCAGCTTGTGAAAAAATGCACTAGAGCAATACTGGGAAAAATGTTGAGGGAGGCAGATTTTACCCTGTTCCAGCTCTTTCAGGGTTAACTTGTTGACTGCTGACTACAAGTGTACAGTACTCGTAGTAACAGGTGTATGGTGTTCTGGATTCTGTCATTACGAGTATACTCACAGGAAATGAAATTATATAGTTATTGTAACGTAAATTGAGTATACACTGGCATCACCGAAGAACACGACAAATACGCTGCTGGCAGTGTAAGGACATGTACATCTGTAAACTGCTCATGTTCAACTAGACACCTGAAGTGGACTCTTCAGTCAATACGACAGAGGAATAGGCAGACAGGTCATTTGCATTCACATGAGAATGAAGACTGATTCGTGATGCACACAACTGGCCCCAGATGCTGCAAGGGAAGGAATCCACAAGAGAGGAACTCTGTTTCCTTCTCTCTTTCTTTGCCTGAATGGCAGCAGCCCCGTTGGCTTCAGAGGCCTCTGTGCTTTGTGTACACCGATGCCTTGGAAGGTATCTATTAAATATGTGCCCATGCATACAATCCTTGGCTCACGGGAATGCCCTGTGGAAATCATTCGCGGCAGTCAACTGAGGGCACTGTTGCTGTGATGTCATCCAAGGAAGAAATACTGTACATGTATACGTACACACAAGTAGGTTTCTTATCTAGATTGTAAATCCAGAATTAGCTCATGAAAACATTTCTGAGAACGAGTTGCTTTCTTGCTTATTGCTTAAATACAAAATACATGATGAATCCCCAATGGAAACCAAATTTATTGCCAACAAAATCTGAAAAAATGCAGCACTTTTGTGCAAAAGCCACTATGACATTGACACTGATTGGATTTTTTTTTCTTGAGATGACATTGAAATTTTGCTCATGGATACACAGAAATCTCATCAGCATAAAACCCAAGAGGGCAGCCAAATACCCTTTAATAGATATCGCAGACAATGCAACACTGAAGAAGTTAACTGAGACACAGAAGTACATTTTGGAAAAATTACAAAACTTCTGTTGCTGCTACTCACAGTTCCAATGGGAAATGCTACTGCAGCAAGGAACCAATCTCTGAACGCAACAATCTTCCTGGTTAGTGGACTGTGAGCTCCAGAGCTAGTCACCAAATCACTAACACAGCATAAGAAGAAATACGTCAACTGGAAAACCTACATGTACAATAAAAAAGATAACAACACATGTACAAGTATGTTGATGATAGTTGGAGGCAGCAAACAAAACAATGTATGCTGTATGCCACCTAATGTACAGGTACATCTAGACGTTAAGAATTACATACATGTAAATACATGTATGTTGCAGGCATTTGGCTTTACATGTACTTACCAGTAGGATGTAAATGAAAAGTGATTTTCTACTAAATTGGAAGGACTCTCATAGCAACAGTTACTGTGTTATCTGTACCTCATGACTACATGTATGTTCAAAACTGAATGGGTTACCATGGTCACTGCAAATCTGAATGAAGCTGTGTGTCCAAGTCATGACCCTACTTGACCTTGCTATCATTATCACACGTCATACAAGCACATGTACATGTGAGTCCAGAGTGTGCTTTTCAATCACGGCTTCCTTTTGCTATGCATGACTGTTTTCTGTTGTTAGTTGCATGTACATGGGCAATGTACTCATAGCAAACGGTAGGTACATGAACATGTATCATCCGCTGGATGAGGCAATCGTCCATTACACATTAAAAGCATGGAGCTTTATGACGCTAGGCCCCAGTGCTAGTACTACAATTACATGATATGATTTCTACACTTCACTCACAATACACACGTTGTAGGCATACATACATCCTGCCTGTGCATGATAAAGTACATCACCAGATGAAGCCGGTGACTTGCTCAAACCATGGAATAATGGTTGATCCATTAAGGTGAGTTAATGGAGGAATGTGTTTGAACCTTGGTACGTACGTAGAATACATCCAACCACGGAGGAAAATATGATGCAACAGAAGCAGCAGTCACCAGCTAAGATCGTATACCACCGCATAGTGGCGCAAGATGGTGAACTTCACCATGAATACACGTAAAACGTTGTAATTGCATGGGCGCTATTTGAGCAAGCGATACGCCTGCGCAATGCACATTAATGCATGGGCGCAGGCGCCGCGGCAGGCACGTACACCTGGTGAGCCTGCGCCTACGCATTACTGTAAACTGCACAGGCGTATCGCTTGCTCAAATGGCGCCCATGATAAAATACACCTTTTGGGCAGAGTTATTCATCTTGCGCCCTCGGCATTATACGATCTTTGGTTACCAGGTACAATGCACCACAGGGGCTGGGCCTGTATAAGGCCATGCCTACATGTACACTGATGTAAACATGGTACATGTACATGTATGCATAAAGTATGGACCTGTCTGTGGTTCACTTAACCTGGTAGGCCTACATGTACATCATATGACTTAGGCTACAGACACTACATACGTTAGGTACATGACATTGCACGATCTTGGACACTGTGCATTGATTGCAGACATGTTGCGTGTTTCCAATTTTTTCGTGCATGCGCCGTAGTGTTTTTTAATTGCCAGGTACCAGTTAATCGGGGACCTAATTGAAACACACGGTTCTATATGTGGCACAGGAAAATCTGCCATTCATGATTCAATATGGTGTGGTTGTTTTTTGTGCAAAGTACCCAAGTGAACTTTTTGGGCGATCAAAAATATCAGTCAACAAATCAGCATATTTTCACCCAAACTCACAGTACAACACTCTTCTTAAACACACATGGAACTTTTGGTTTATATATTTTTCTGTACTTTGAAATTTGAAGGAATCTGAAGACTCGCACACTTTGAACTGTGATCCACATGCCGCAAAATGAGGTCATGCAATACGTTGGCACCAGCAGTTGATCAAACATGGTGTTTGACGCATGCTACCATGAGAATCATGACAGTTCAAAATTGCTCAAAAAGTTCTGTTGGCTGATCTTTTCAGCTGGAAAATGGTCACTGTTTTTATAGGTTTTCTTTAATTTTTATAGGGGCCAAAATTTTATTCCCAATTCCATTTTAAAAATAATCACACTTGAAATTTAACCTAGGGCTAAGCCTACATGTATAGGAAGTTGAATACTACATTTTATATACATTAAGTATACAATAGGCCTTGTACCAAATTCAAGTAGATAAAATAATTTTCATTTTTTGGGGTCAAATACCTACATACATGTAGGCAGGACCAAGACTACAGGAGGCCTACAACTTGATATATATATCAGTACATGATGATCCTACTAGGCCCCCTATGTGTACACATGGTGTAGGGGCCTCAGCCCACATCGTGCACTATAGGCCAAACTCACCATGTTCCACATCGTTAAAAATTTAGACATCCCATACCGATCTTTTCTGGGATTGGATACACCAATATTCTTAAGATAGTCATCTAATGCGGGATTCACTACGACATTGTTGTAAAATATTCCAAATGTATAGAGAGCAAGGCCCAGAAAACTGAAAATTGTCCTCAGCACGAGAGTGGCACCTGCGCTCGCCATGATTAACGATAGGCATATATATCGCTTCGACTTGCCTGAAATTTGACCCCCGATATGGGATGGCGCGCTTCTGAAACCCTTGGTCCTTGGATAGGAAAAATAACGCGCAAGATTTTAGAATTTGTAATATTTTTTGGTTCAGTTACTTCTTCAAAAATCCAACTCAGAAAAGGGGCTTTGGAAAATATTTGCTAGTATATTTCGGGGGACTCGAGCCCCCAACCTACTGTTTACTAGCGCGGACGTCTTAACCACTCGACCACCGAGCTTGCTGAAGTCAACTGGCCGGTCTGAGCATCTACCTCCATGGCCCGAGTCAGGAAAAGTAGCGGATACCTGTGACTTTTTTCGCAAGCTCTCAGGCAAGCACTGAGCATACAATGTTTATTGATATATACGTTGGGTAAGAGCAAAACCCGTCATATAGATTAACATCTCCCGAACGCAAAAAATACATCTTGAAAATAGTTCGTGGTATCCGCTGCTTTATATGACTCTGACAGGCCAATCGACCTCAGCAAGCNGTGAGCTTATGACTTTTTTTCGCAAGCTCTCGGACAAGCACTGAGGACACAGTGTTAATTAAATATATACGTTGGGTAAGGGCAAAACCGTCATAATAAATAGGTAAATCTTTGGAACGTTTCACGTAAGCCGGGCAGTAAAAACAAACGATATCGCCAGACGTGAAAGGCTGTTAAGCAAATTTATTTTTACCCATTTCCGTGTAAATTTTCCTAAATATTACTTGAGGAAGACAAAGGTAAAATTCCAACATGAGTGTTTCAGTCAGGAAATATTCTTCCAAAAATTATCGAATGTGATAGGACGGCCCAACGTAAAATCCCCATAGGAGGACCGCGCGAGGGTTCCGGAAGCTCGCTGCGTGACCTTTTACTTTCAGGCTCTATTTTGATTTAAATCCGCTCGGAGCAAACTGTTATAGCACGTATGACACTTCTTGTCTTTTTTCATCTGATGTCAAACACGATTGCTGAAACAACTCGAATGGAAATACAGGACAAAATAATTTGGAACAAATTGAAAACAATCAATTTATCCAAATTTATAGTGTTCCATGTCTACTTATTTCCGCGCGTCGGGTTTTCAGTATCAATTGCTGTATCTGAGCCGTCGTTATCGAAATACTTATCTCGCCTATGTGTGCAGTATGACCATTCTGACCCGACCATAAGGTTTCCAAAATAACTTCAATTGAATTAATAATAAATCTATGGCTGGAAACACATCATTGCTCTGAGTGAAATATTGATGGCCTTTTCTACTCCGTGCGGGGCGAGTGATGTTCCAAAATTGAGGTATTAACTTTATCCATGTGTAGCTCGCTTGCCTCATGCACAGCTAGCAGCTGGCGGTCACTTGATTGAGCGCCCTCTATTAGCAAGTATCGGTGAGTGTACAGACGCCCGAAAATCTTCGGTCCGTTTGTGCTACTTGCTATCGCTAAAGCACGCAATTAATAATCTTTTGATTTAGTTCCATATTGGTCTGCCTGTCATATTATTATAATTTCAGTATAAACAAGGAAAGGAATAAGTTTTCACTAGGACAAAGGTGTCATTCAGATTCCCAAGCATAGAGAATCAAAATATTTTCAAACGGTAACTTACCGCACACCAGCTAGTGAGATACAAACACTTATAAACTGCCGATCCTCTGAAGAACTCGATAATTTTAAGATCCATGTATTTGCTCTTTATGAAAGCGGGACTAGTGACGGTGACATCGAATCTTATTTCGTAGAAATACAACAAGAATGCAAATAGATGAAATACATTCACCAATTGCACAACGATCTTGCCGTGTCTTGGAGTTGTCGGTACACAAACAAAGTGGGAGGTTTGTCTTGATCTCTTCATCGTTGATGTTCTGAATTCCAGCAGCAAGACAAAAATCACTCTATCATTTCCCGTCAGTGACACTAGTTCTGAGGACCCACTACGGAGTCTTTGGGGCAAACTATAATCATGTATGAAGGCTTTTAGACCTTATCCAAATACAAAGTGATGTCGTTACAGTCACGTTCAAACGATTCAAGATAAACCAACCTTCACAATCAACTACAAACAAACAAACGATTATAGTCAACCGACCTCCTTTTCAACTGGTTCCCTTCTGTACAATGATTTGGAAGTAATGGCTTGGTGAGAATAAAGTTTGGACTCTGCACAGGCGCAGGTGGAGCTCATGGTGGACACAGAATTGCTTGTCAGCAAGTTGCTGTAACGATTTAATTAAGCTGCAAAACATGACCTAAATCTTCACTTTGACTAAAAATAATAACCTAAAAAATAATCTTACCGCACACCATGCTGTAAGGTGCAAAGTCTTATATCTGAGTACTGATCCATCACTGAAGAAGGCGATTTTAGGGTTGATGTACTTGCTTTTGATGAATGCAGGGCTGGCCATTGCCACATCATAGCCAGCAGCGAATAATTCGAGCAAAAATACTGTGAAATGGTACAAACATTGCAGTGTGAAATGATGGGCTCGATAGCTGTTAAACTTGGCTTTTGCCATGATTCTGTTACCATGAAGGGAATGTCCAAAATTTGGATCCAACTGGGTTCCAGAGTTCCCCGTTGTTTTATACAGCTCTCATCGGCTCTGTAACTAACCTTTTAAGTTTATCAAATGCATAATTCTGGATTATAGGCTTATGGTGTTATTGCTGGAGCACAATGACTTGTTGCGTAATGGACGAAGGCATACGCTTAATCAAAGTACGTATCGCTATTTTTATCAGTACTGTTTTCTCGATGTAGATGCCGTTGACGAGAAACAAAAATACATTCAAAGTTAAAGTGTGAACTATATGTATCTAAAGATACTGACTAACTGAGGCTGAATTGAACAAGGGGACCTATACACGTAAGTATGGGAACCAATACTTACATTGGTTCGCCTATAATATACTCTAAGACCGGGATATTCGGTCACTGTTTCCAATAGTTTGGCATAGAAGGTGATCGATAATGGGAACCAGTGCTTGATCAATTTGATATTACGTGGTACGCATTGTCAACATCCCAATGGATTTGTTTTTACTCTAGAATTGTCAAGGCCTGGGATTTGGCAAGATGGACTATGTACTCATGACCTAAATGGCCAACAATGTACTGCCATGCGTGATAAAGATCTTATGGCATTTATTCATTAATCGGTCTCACATTAATTTCGAGCCTTAATGCATCTAATCCATGACAATAAAGGAAATGTTGCCTTCAAAATCATGTGCGTATCGTGAATTGCTCATTGAGGTTTAAATCTGTATATATTCCTTGAACGAGACTTTAAAAAATAATCGAAAATTCAAAGGGACAAATATTGAAACCAAGACACACGGAACAATTTAAACAATAAGCTCACGGAACTGGGCTTTAAAACAAAACACTGTGTACAAAACTAAACACAAATTTCGCAAAAAGAATGGCCCACACTGGAAAAGAAGTACGCCATCAAAGAAACGGACAGGTACAGACCTCGCAGCCAGAGGCAAGAATTAGATGATTGAGTGGTTAATCTTACCGCATTCCAAATCGTGATGCAGACAAACTTGTTTACTATATCGATCCACCAAAAAAGTCAATAAAATCAGAACTGAAATACATTTTCCTCATTAAACGCGGAGTAGATAGCCTACAAACTGCGAGTTCATACCCAAATACGAGCATGTAAAAAGGAATGTAAATGCATGCCATGCTTCATGCATTCCCGAGACGGTTGAGCCACTAGCTGCATTTTGCAGGGTCTTTTATAAGCCTCAAAAATTAACGTCATGCATGTGTAGTGTCACTGTCAGAAAATGCAGCTATAAAATAGAACGTATGTCATGTTTACTGATTAGTAATTACAACTATAATGAGTAACTAACTTAATAAGACCAAGCACGTGTAGGGTATATCGATGGCGAAACTATGTTACATTTACCATGTCCCAGTATGTTAGCGCCTGTGATTTGTGCAGTAGATACGAAGTCCCGAATTTCTTGACTGTTTCCGTGTGTATGAGTCTGCTCTTCATGAAGCGTGGTGTCGATACGTTGATGTCAAAGGCGAAGACTGAAACATAGAAGCAGACAATACCCAAGTGAATGGTTAACAAAATAAAAGGAGATGGCGCCATGATATCCCATAAGTTCCGTAATACATGGAGCGTTCAGTGTATGGGTATAAAGGACCCAACTCCAAATGCCGCGGGAGATATATGGTGCAGTACAGTGGGACATACAGTGCAGACGCGTTACAATGCACACGTTGCCATGGCTGTCCGCTCATAAGTCCAAGCACTGTAACATTCAGCCATATTTTTATGGATGATGAATATAGCGTGAAACTTGGCATTTTGGGAGAGCGGAAAAATTCAAGATAAAACTTAAGCGTTCCTTTCTTTTAAACATACAAAGGGGTGGGAGGAGAGGAACACAAATCGGGCGTATTTTAGCAGGTGAACTAAAATCTTCACCAATTATATTTCACTTAGATTGCATGAATACATGTATTATTTTCTGTGTGCGCTTTTATTAGTTTCGGATTATGAAGTGTGCTTCCATCAAGGAGTTATACAACCCCTTATTTTTTCTCACTAGCGACGAGGTACTTAACAAATCCCTAAACTACATGTGTCGGTGTATCAGGATTCTGCTCCATTCTCATGAGCTTTGGGTATTTTGGGTGTCGTTCTTGAAGCCCACAATTCTACTAACTTTATCACCATCTTGGAGACAAAGTTTGGCTTGTATAAAGTGACCAACAGAATCCGTGTAAAGTGAGTGTGCAACATATTCCTTCGAGTAACTTGAAAGGAAAACCACACGGTAAAGATGGCTGTGCTGTCAATCACGACAAGTACATTCGTCCGCTCGTCACTCACCACCCGAACAGCTAGGGCGCCGGGAAGGGCTGGTGGCATTGCATTGTGACAGGCTATTTTATACACGACCGTTAGCGAAGCGTTTATTGGGTTTTATGATTAGCCAATGGCAATGCTTTGACACAGACGAAAGTTTCGGCCTATATATAAAAAACTTGGTACAATCACATCTTCTCAATAAGTATCAGTGATCACGTGTCTTTCTCAGAAATGAGGAAGGAAAAGAAAAAGCATTGAAATGATTACCGTCACATTTAGCGAGCTCGCGCGCCTGCCAGAAACTTACCCACAATGCTCTGCACGTCGTTAGCTGTGACCCTGCGTGACATATTTCCTTCACTAAAATATGTGCAACGCCATCAGCCTTTCCCAGCGCCCTCTTCGAGCGCTGGGCAATGATCTCATTCCCATGGGTACGATCTTGCGGCGCACTAAGTTGGTTCCCGTAATGCCTTGCTTGATCTTAATCCCTGAGAGATTTTGATATGTATTGCTGGAGACATACTTTTTAAAATCTCTTTATTACAAAACTGTCCATATCTGCCGTCGTGTGTCACGCGTTGTCCGTCGTGCGCCCTCTGTCGTGCGTCGCCCGTCGTGCGTCGCCCGTGTTTTTTTGTCACGATTGTGCAGTGGTATTTTCTAATTTGACCCTTGATCGTTAACAGCCTGACTTTAGGTCTATAGCCTATGTAATATTTCTGTCTGTGCCTGCACGACATCCCACGGAACGGAATGTAAATAATAGATTATTTACAATGTTTGATTCCTTAATAGTTGTCATAAGAGACGAACTGATTCAACGTTATTTTGAGGGCGGGTATGCCTATGATGAAATCTGCTGTATACTCCAAATAAGACACGACTTTAGTTGCAGGTTGGCTCACAGAAGTCTTTTAAACAGTAACGTTACTTGTTAGCCCCATAAATAATGCTGATGGGCTGGACAACCTGTTCTCATTGGTACATCTACCATGGCATACACACCCACAAAAACCGATACGTCATATTTTCTGAAACTTAAACCAAATGGTAATTGCCCCCTAAAAATACATTTAATAAACAGTTTGTTATCCACAGCACGTCTAGTATTTCTGGATTTCAAGGTGAAATTGAGAGGGCAAGATGGAATATCTGTATCGGTTGGCAGATTTCTTCCTGGAATTTGATGAAACCAAGTCGGCACATTTTTACAATATGTAAATTAGAATAACACTGTGGATAAGTTGGCCGGAATATTTTTGCTGAAAATGTTTTTCCCCAAAAAACACTTGGTTGAATTCTCAGAGAGGCGATATCTTCTGGTCAAAGGGCAGGGGTAGTCTCGCATTATTGGAATTAATTATGTGACTAGTATATGCTTTGCAGGTGGGATTACTTGCCTTATTCGGAAAAGATCTTTATAAGTGAATGGAATCATCACATTGTCATTTGTTAACCCCCGGCTTTTGCAGGTCCTATGCAACCAATTTGATGGGCGACGCACGACGGAAAAATGGCATGTTTGGAACTGGTAAATGGCAGAATTGCGACACAACAAAAAGCAAAATGCGACGAATGACGGGCGACGGCAGATATGGAATTTCATACTTTCCTATGGGGAAAAGGTTTTATTTCCAGACAGTGAGAATTGTGAAAAGGACTAGTCTTCGCAGCTCGAGGACCCTTCTCCTGTTGAAATGTCAGGCTTCACTTCCCCTTGTAAAAAATCCCCCAGAACCAAAATTGTAACCCTTTTTTTGAAGACGAGTTTCCCCAGCATGTTGTGTTAAAAAATCACTCGCCGGCAGTCGACGTTTTTACCCGCGCTAGGCGCGATGCAGATTAACGTTTGCAAATGCATCACAAGTCGCCTACTTCCTGTCGAAGCGAAGCTGGAGAAATTTCAAGGCTTTTGCATGTCGGACAAATTCTTCAACTTGCACAATGCACTTGAGAACAAATGGCAGAGTCATGATCACAATGATGATGGATTCAAGACCAAAGTGATTTCAAATTGAATCCCAAAGAAAAGACATAGAAAAGACGAGCTAGACCTGAGACTTCTGTCCGATTACATGACTATTCATTCTGGGCGCTCTCGGCAGCCAGGTGCACAATCACCCTATCGCTCTGCGCTATTGGTCGATCCTGTCTGAAATCTTCAACTTAAGAACTTCTCTTTTCTAAACAATCCTTCATAAACGTGAATTAGAAAGAGGGTTATATGGTAGTGCCCCCTATGCTCCGATTGACTATTTCACCGTGAGAAATATCTGAATAAGGCTACGGTTTTTCAGTAATCATCTTTGCCATTGCTTAAGCTTTCCTAAGAATTTTAGATCAAGGAAATTGGACGGGCCAAATTGAAGATACACCTAATAGGTGGGGCTTTCGCTCTTTGGGCCAAGTGCACAAAGATGGTAAATTACTGTAGTTGAAAGAACGACCGAGTTCTAAGTAGGCCTAAATGGGTCTTTCCTTCTGTTCTGCATGTTCCAATAAAACAATCATTTTCAAATAAATTCATACCCAAACAGATAGATTTACCTCCACATCGCTTCCTTCCATCACCCCAACATCAAGTCTTCTGTCAATCTGGCCCTTGTTCGTAGAGCATAGAAATGTTTGCAGCGAGGAACATCTCACCCAAGAACTCTGTCGCGTCACCATAGCGTTGCATGGGAACAGATACAAGTCCAGAAAAGCCAGACCGCAAGATCAAAGATTCACCCCGCCGAAGAGTCACCTATACCCAAAGCCAACTAGTAAGGACCCCTAGTTCTATTACCCCTCCTTTCCTATAGGCAGTACATGTACTTCCCACCAAATCCAGCGTATTCTACACTAGCACGGTATTCGAGTGTATACAGCCCCGGCCCCCTGGAGATGCAGAACCTGCTAACCCCCAACAAGGACAGGCCTAACAGCACATGCCAGGAATGTGTACAAGATCTCTCCATAGTGTATTTTGGCGAGATCGGCAGAAACCTACTCACCAGACTCATTGAACACAAAGCCCACGGCAGGAAGAGACAATTCGAGAAATCAGCCACCATGAAGCAATCCCATACCGAAGACCACCAGAAGGAGGTTGTCGGGGGGGGGGGGGTAGAGGGGTGCAGGGGGGGGGGGGGAAGTAAGATAGCAAGATATGGGATGG